CGTCGGCGTGGGATCGCCGGTGACCGGGTAAGTACAGAAAGACCGGTGGGCGTACTATTACGCCCGGCGGCGTTTAGAGCCGCCTATAATAGGGCGTAATAGTACGCCCTCCGGTCTTAAGGGGTTAATGAGATTTAGTTATGCTTAGTAAGATTTAACCGTGCTTAGTTAGAGTCAGCCATGCCTAGTTAGAGTCAGCCATGCCTAGTCAGGGTCAACCATGTTCAGTGAGATTTAACCATGCTCAGTAAGGGTTAACCATGCTCAGTGAGATTTTTTTTTTTTTTATAATTCTTTATTTTTGCTTTGACAGACATTACAGCTTGAAAGCATTATTGGGGCTTGTGCATAAGCCTAGCAGCAAGAGGTACATTGGTATTTCAGTGATACTGGAAAAATCTAATCATTTGGTTAAGTATACATCTGTTGTGCGGCAGCTCTTGCTTTCTTCGTTGTTGACTGAAGCTGCAGTCCATCAGCGTTTTTCCTTTTTTGTAAACGCAATCAACGTCAAAACCTGGAAACACCCTATTTGGTGTTTTCCTAAAGTTACTCGAACTTCTACAACTTAGTGTCATGACCTGGTATTCTATTCGTCTCGTAGTTATTGTTGTTCTCCCTCCCCACTCCACCCCCCGACCCCCCCCTAGCCCCCATACTATGGGCACCTGAGTGTAGCATTACTTTTCTTACGTGGGCCGTGTTTGTGCTGACTGTTTCTTATCTGCCCTCCGCTGCGTCTTCCTCCCACCATACATTTACCCTTTGTCGTGACTGTAAGTCCCCTTTGTGAAGAGCGTGTTAGATACCTAGTAATTTGCTCTTGCGAGCCCCCCTGGTTTCAGATTGATTATAATACTTTGGGCTTGTGTGTTAGCCCCCCCTCATCCCACCTCTTTATTTATTTTCCGTGCATAATTGCCCTTTTCTGTGGGGAGAAGGCGGGAAGAGAGGAGGACGGGATTAGTTTGCGTGCCAGGGAAGGGCGGGGAGGCAGCGGCCATAAAAAAAAAAAAAGGGGGGACACACTGCATATGTGTGTAGTGGTGGGTGTCACTTTGGTTGGCTCTAGTGTCTCATGGTGTGCACGCCATTCTTTCTTGATATTCCTCCCACGGTTGCCACACCTTTGAAAAAGTGCCCATGGTGTTCCGTACCTGCGCTGTCAATTTGTCCATGGTGAAATTGTCCTGTATTTTGTGAATGACTTTGCTCATAGGGGGCATGTCGGGGCTTAGCCATTGTTGGGTCAGTGCTCTTCTGGCTGCTAGGGTCAGTTTGTTAACTAGTTTCTGTTCTTTTGTTGTCAGGTCATCCTGTGGTTTGGCTAATAAAAATGTCCATGGGTCTCTGTGTATTGGTCTCTCCAGGACTGCTGTCATTAATGTCTCTATTTCCGACCAGAATTTCACTACCTTGGGACATGTCCACCACATGTGGATGTATGATCCTCTCTCACCACAGCCTCTCCAGCAAGTATCTGTGGTGGTTTTCCCCATTCTATATAATTTGGCCGGGGTGGCGTACCACCTCAGGAGGGTTTTATATGCCTGTTCCTGAAGTGTTACGCATATGGAGACTTTGGCTGTCGCTTCCCATATATCCCTCCAGTCCTCCCCTTCCAGTGTTTGGTGTAGATCTTTCTCCCATTGGGTGATATAGCTGAGGGGTTCTGCGTTCCTCTCCGGGGCACTAAGTTGTGCGTAAAGCCCGGTAATCAGTCCCTTGCGTGTGGTTTCTGTTATGCATAATCTTTCAAAGCTAGTCATTGGAGCCTTAGCTACTTCTCTAACTCTAGGATGGTTAGCGAAGTCCCTTAGTTGTATATATCTGAAAAAGTCTCTAGTCTGTAATGGCGCTGTCTGTTTTAGTTCGTCAAAGGTTTTGAGTGTGTCTCCGTCGTATAGGTGATAGTATCTCTGCAGGCCTGCGTATTCCAGACCTTTAAAGTCCCTCGCCCGCATACCTGGTGTGAATGCCCTGTTTCTCAAGTATGGGGTGAGAGGTGAGGGCATTCTCGTTAGTGCATATTTTTGAGCGTTGGCGTCCCATATTTTAATAGAGTTGAGTATAGATGGGCAGTCTGTGAGTAAGGGTGGTCTGTCTGCTTTTGGTACCCAGATCCAAAACTGGGGAAGGTCGCTTCTCATCACTAAGGATTCCAGGTCTGCCCATCTGCGTCTATCTGGGGGTGAGTGCCACTCTATTATTTGGGCTAGCTGTGCCGACAGATAATACAGGTGAAGATTAGGAAGTCCCAGTCCCCCTAGTCCCTTTGGTCGGTAGAGTATGCGTCGGGCTATCCTATGTCTTTTGTGTGCCCATATAAATTGGTCTATGTTGGTTTGTAGGGATTGGAGGTCCCCTTTCGTGACTTTCGTGGGCAGTGCCTGGAAGAGGAACAGCATCCTCGGTAATACATTCATTTTAATTGCGTGAAGACGGCCTATCCATGAGATCGGCTTCTCATGCCATTTTTCTAAGTCTTTTGTTATTGTTTTGATCATTGGTGTGTAGTTTTCCGTATACAGTCGTGAGACCTCTTTTGTTAGTTTGACCCCCAAGTATTTGATATGTTGGTGGTTTAGCTTTATATACGTCATCCTCCCTATTAGCGCCGTGTCTTCCGCCGTCAACCCCAGCGGCATGGCTTCTGATTTGTCCATGTTTATTTTATAGCCTGCCACCTGGGCGAACTCCTCTAGTAGCCAGACTAGACTCGGGAGGGAGTTCTCCAGGTCCGTGAGAGTGAGCAGGATGTCATCTGCGTACGCAGATACTTTATACTGCTCTGTTGCTATTGTCAGTCCCTTTATGTTTGGGTGTTCCCTAATCCTGTAAAGGAGGGGTTCTAGGGCTAGTATGAAGAGGAGCGGCGAGAGAGGGCAGCCCTGCCTCGTGCCGTTACTTAGTTGAAATGGTTTTGGGATCGCTCCTGGTATGGCTATTTGGGCCTGTGGATTCATGTACAGTGCTTTGACCGCTGTGACGTAGTTTTCTGGTAGGCCTATGTGGCGCAATAGGGCGAACAAGTAATACCATTGGATCCTGTCGAAGGCCTTCTCCGCGTCCAGCAATAGGACGAGAGAAGGCGTCCGAGTTTTACCGGCCCACCAGATCAGGTCCACTGCACGTCTAGTGTTCTCATACAGTTGCCTAGTTGGCACAAAGCCCACCTGGTCTGGGTGGACCAGCCTGGGCAGAATGTGACCCAGCCTGATGGCCAGGATCTTGGCGTAGATTTTGGAGTCTACGTTAATCAGGGAGATGGGGCGGTAATTGTTCACCTTCGATTCGTCCCGTCCCGGTTTCTGGATAAGAACCACGTTTGCCGTGGCGAGCTCTGCGTTGGGACATCCCCCCTCTATCCATTCCTGATACATTGTTGTCATGTGAGGTGCTAATTCTGCTCGCAGTGCTTTATAATAGGCCCCGTCAACCCCGTCTGGTCCTGGTGTCTTATTACCCTCTATCAATCCTATGGCCCTGTCTACTTCTTCTGTCGTAATTGGTGACTCTAGGTCTGTTAGATCTTCCTGATTTGGTTTGGGTAGGTTTATGCTGGCCAGGAAGCTTGTGACTGCCTCTACGTGTTCCCTGTTGGTTTCATCTTTCCCCGGGGAGTGATTGTATATTTGCCGTAGGAAATTGGTGAATTCCTCGGCAATGTCCTGTGGGGAAGTGAGGGGTTGGCCCTGTTCGTTGGTGATGGATGTGATGTGTTTGTGTTTTTGTTTGGGTCTGAGGGCTCTAGCTAATAACTTATCCATTTTATTGGACTTTACGTAAAAAAGTCTTCTCGATCGGGTGATATCTCTGCTTACCTCATCCAAGAGGAGATTCTTCAGCGCATGTCTGATGTTTTGTATGTCGTCTAGTGTGGGTTGTGTCGGGTTCTGTTTGTGTTGCATTTCCGCTTTACGGAGGGCCTTCTGCAGTTCCGTTAGTTTTTCCATTTTTTGTTTTTTATTTCGTGTCGCTATTTTTATTAGGGTTCCCCGCAGGACCGCTTTGTGGGCCGCCCACGTCATAGTGGGGGACATTCCTACCGTAGTGTTTAATTCAAAGTACTTGTTTACTTCTGTCTTAAGTAGCTCTAGGGTGTCTTGGTCTCTAAGGAGGGAGTTGTTAAGCCTCCACCTCCAGGGGGCCCGAGGCCCCGGTGTGTGGAGAGTCAGGGCAATGTCAGCGTGGTCTGACCAGGATATCATATTTATGGCTGACGATTTTACCCATCTCATGCCCTGTTGATTTGTGAGGAATACGTCAATTTGGGAGTAAGTGGAGTGTACTGCAGAGTAGTGGGTATAGTCTAGTGTACCTGGGTGTTGCAACCGCCAGGAATCCAGAAGCCCAGTGTTTTGTAAAAATTTGTTTAGTAAGCGATCCTGTCCTCCTCTACCCTGTGATCTGGGTTGTCCCGGTTTGCCACTGCGGTCGACCGCGGGACACGGCGCTGCGTTTAGGTCACCCCCTAGGATCAATATACCCCCCGTCAAAGAATTTATGAGCTTTTCCAGGGTTGTCCAAAAGTGGGCGTCAGGGATGTTAGGGGCGTATACGTTTATGAGGTGATATTTGGTTGCGTTGATCAGCCCCGTTAGGATTATAAACCGTCCATCCGTGTCTCTGTGTATGGACTGTATGACCAGTGGGCATCGTTTGTGGATGACTATTTCTACTCCCTTCATCTTACGGAGCGAGCGGGCCGCGTATGCTTTTGTATATATGTGGTCTATGATTTGAATATTGGAGGTCTTAGGGAGGTGGGTTTCCTGTATGAACGCTATGTCTGCCTTCTGTCTGTGTAGTTCCCTGAGTAAAAGTCTGCGTTTGTTTGGCACATTAAGGCCGTTTACGTTGAGTGATGTAATTTTAAGTGCCATGTGATAATGCGAGTGGTGTGCTAGTGTACCTTGTGCCTCTTTGCCTTGTGGGTGCATAATCCGGAGCTTCCGCCTTGTTGTTGTGCGCCGCCCGGCGGTCCCCCCGGGGTGGTTGCCGAATGTGCCTTGTCTCAGCGAAATCGTGGGCCGGGGTAGGGGAGGAAAGAAAACAGGTCATGACAACACATATTGGTAACCTATTAACATAACCCATAAAACCTTTATCCCAACTTAGTGGAGGATGATCCTCCATGATCCTTCTACCTGTCGGATCTAAAATCCCGGTCTTACCTCTCGCCAGGTCGATCGGGGGTGGCCACCCGCCGCGTCAAGAAGTGTCTCAAACGGGGCGGGTGTACAGCCCCAGAGCACCCCCGCGAGGCTCTATGCTTGTGTCTAACTTGTCGTGGGTGTTTACGACATAGGGTGTGACGATCACCGGCTCCTGTGAGCCTATCTGTATAGGTGTGTCCTGAGGGAGGGGGTGTGAATGGCCCTTCGCCTGTCCTGCTGTTTTCCTCCGTGTCTTGGGTATCTGATCCCTCTCCCTGGGCCCTTTGGGGGTTTTTTTTGTCTTTTTTAAACTTTTCCCTTACGTGCTTCCCCTCACTGTGTGCCCCTTTGTGTGGAAGTGCTAGATGCGCAGTTGTGTCCCCTTGAACCTTTCCCCGGTGGGGGGGTGGATGTATGCCCTCTCCCACCTATCACTTCCTCCTTCCAAGCCCTTGCCTAGTTACTCTGGCTTTGTCTGGTGGGAAACAGCTGGTTCATGCCAGATTTGAGCGTCTCCTACGATAGGGGGCCCTCTGCCAGCAGTACTATGGCCGATGGTTTGGTCTGGTCTAAGCCTGTTGCCTTTTGATCAGACACCCCGGAGTATATGTGGGATGGCTTGTTGTTAACCCCAAGAGGGTCGTTAAATATACCATCACCCCTAATGTTAGCGAGTTTGCCTGCTTTTTTTTTTTTTTCTTCCAATTGTATATGGAGTGGCTATATTCGTACCCTTCTCCATTCGGGTAATCTCCCCCTCCTTATCTTTCATCAGACCCCATGTCCCCTCTATCCCCTACCAGTTTTCAATTTTAACTATGTCCGCAATGTCCCTGTGATATGATGAATCATATATATCAACTTGCGTGTTGTATTGTCCATGTTGCGTGTCCCTCAGGTACGGGTCGCCATCTTTGTTGCCTATCTCGCTCTGCGTTCCAGACATTCCCTGGGAAACAGGTCCAGCGCCCTGGGCCCCCTCGGTGGTAAGGTCGGGTCTCCCGGTACCTCGATGCCCAGTTCTTGGAGGACGCCTCTGGGGTCCATGGATGGTGTCAGCACTGTCGGTCTTGGGCCATTAAAGATGAGCATCTTAAAGGGGAAGCCCCATGCGAAGCGCAGGCCTTTGGCTCTGAGGAGGTCAGCAATGGGTTTCCATTCTCGTCTTCTTGCGAGGGTAGTTGGAGCGATGTCTTGGTAGATCTGTAGCGTCTTTCCTTTATACATGTATGGCTGGAGCCTGCTTTGCTTGAGAATTGCTTCTTTCGTGGAAAAAAAGTGCCACCTTATGATGACATCTCTGGGAGGGCTGTTTTGCGGTCCCTTAGCTCGCAGTGCCCTGTGTATCCTGTCGATATGCCACAGCTGATCTGGTATCTGTGGTAGGCTGGTGCGGAAGATCTGCGCCAGTAGCTGCTCAAGGTCTCCATCCCCTACATCCTCTGGCAGGCCTCTGATGCGCATGTTGTTGCGCCGTATTCTATTAGAGTTGTCCTCCAGCTCCATTTCCAGTTCAGCGACCCTGGTGAGTAGTGCGTTTGTGGCTGTGGTATTTTCATTGTGTGCTGCTACCACATCTTCCAGCCTGCTCTCTAAGGCCTCTGTACGAATGCCTATGGCCTGGACTTCTGCCTTCACCTCCCTGGCTGATCTGTCTATCTCCCCTGACAAGTACCCCTTTACCTCCTCCAGAGAGTGGAGTATAGCGTTCTGGGGGTCCTCCGTGTGCCCAAATAGGGAGGATGTCGGCGTGGCCGGTGAGCCAGGAGTGGAGGTGCCCGTCGGGCTTAATGGCGGCCAGCATGTCTGCGACCGATTGATTGCCGCCACGCTGTTTCTTCCCCGCCGCCTTCCTCTGTGACATGGTGCTCGGGGATCCCTGCGAGCTTGCCGAGACTGGCGCTGTGTGTAGGGGTGAATTGCAGGTTGAGAAGTGCAGGTTGCCGGGCGGGTTGCAGAGCCTCTGGTGCGGAGCTCCGGAGTTAGGCTGCCATCACTCTCGGAGTCCAAGCCACGCCCCCCCCATGCTCAGTGAGATTTAACCATGCTCAGTAAGGGTTAACCATGGTCAGTGAGGTTTAACCATGCTTAGAAAGGGTTAACTATGCCCAGTTAGGTTTAACAATGCTGAAGACGATTGAACCACCAGGGGGCAGCAGAGCGTTAAGCCGATCGGGTTGGATGTCCATATTTGCTCAGGTATCTTTGATGCTTTCTGTAGGGAGCAGCAGGAGGAGAGTCAACTGTAATAGGTACAAGCTTCTGGTGTTGAGAAGAATTTATGTCCCATGTCTATTGGTCCCTTATGAGACTGCCAATAACCATGTGGGACAGTGCCTCAGGTGTTCGCAGACATGGGCTTTGCTCGAACGTGCCCTCCGTGGAGTTGTCTGATGTGCTGCCAGAGTGTGCTATTGTTTGCGGGCCGCAGTTAGTGTGTGGTAGTCTGGTCCGCGTTGGTTTGCAGGCAGTTCCCAGAGGTTGCTCCCTTGTTGCCGCCTCCATTCCCCAGCTAGTGAGGGTTGCGGCGGTCATTTTGGCTTTTGCCATGCGGTCCCTAGTTGGGCAGTTCACTGCTCTTGGGGGGTCACTAATTCGCCGGTGGGGTCCGGAATAACCCCCCCCGGCCCACAGGGGGGGGCGACGGGGCCCTTAGTAAGCATGTGGGAGGTCCCGCCGGACTAAGTGCGAGAGACCGGCCGCGTCTCCCGCCAGAGCCTCACGACAGGCTGCAATCCCAGCTGCCCAGCAAACAGCATCGCCTGTAGGACGGGGGCAGTTACTCACACAGAGTGTTGTGCTCTGGACCCCCTCGCCTTCTTGCAGTTGCTGTGTGGTTTTGCAGAGGAGAACTGTAGTTTTAAGTCCGGATAGTAGGTATTCGTGGAGGAGCCAAGGTGCCCCATGTCCATCCAGCTCGGCGGTCAGGCCCCGCCCCCAACCAAAACTTTTTTAAAACAAGTCGATGTTAATAGTTTTATTGAACTAGAGAGCTGCCATCATCGCCTGTGGCTTAAAAATATACCAAAAGGACAGTTCTTAAGGATGCGCAGAACTTGAATTTTCACTATATGTCTGTTCAGGCGTAATCCGCCTCTTTCATATTATGTGCACCCACACTTATTATATATAATTTTATTCAGGGGAAACAGGGCTTTCATTTAACATCAAATATTTAGCTATGAAACATAATTTAATATGAATAAAATATAAAAAAATGTTCTATGTGACATTCTAACTGTGTACAGAGAAGAGATTGGGGGGCTCACCCGAGAGATGCATTATGGAAGAAAGGTGCTGCCGCAGTGACCAAAATTCATACAGAACAAAATAGTTACGGCGCACTCAGACTTCTAAAAATACATAACTAAGAAGGCTACTATAAAACGCCTCTCTAAGAGAATAAATATGGGGATTTAGTTCCATCATATGGCCATATGATGTTAAGCCCACCACTGCTTCAAAGTACCCCAATGTTAGTGGGTCCTATGCTAATTACTAAATGTGGGAGACAAATTAAATAGTACTGATGCTAAAAACAAGCTACAGTGTATTAAATTAATTTCTTTGAAAGAGCAAAGTGAGTATACAAAAATAAAGAGTGATAAAAGCAATTAAAAACAGTGTAACAACTAAATTTAAGTTTTGGTGCTTGAATGAGTATACTCACATGCCTCCATCAACTCCGAAGTCCCTCAGAAAATACAGTGTTTACATGAGAAAGGCTGCAGGGAGCTATAGTTCTCACCTGAACAACCTCATTAACAACCTCATTAAGCTGAAGTTGTTCAGGTGACTATAGTGTCCCTTTAATATATATTTATAATTATATATAAATATAAATATATATATTAATATTAAAATACACTTAGACAGTATAAATATATATATATGATCTAAGTATATATTTTAATTTAAACTGTATCTTTAACTTTTATTTTACATTTTAAAGAGAGTAGGGGGAGTATCTGTCATTACAGGCTATGCTGTCCATGTGATCGTGACGTCCACGCAAGGACCTCGCGATCACATGGCCCGGGGTGGGGGGGCGAAAAGGAAAGAGGGGGACTCCCTGGGCTCCTAGGTAAGCCCCATACCGCGATCGCCGGTGACCGGGTAAGAACATAGAATGGATTGGGCCCGCCGTCCTTAAGGGGTTCAACACCAATCCGGCTGCAAGAGTGGTGGGCAATGCATTCAGCACTGGATGGTTCATGTAGCGGACCCTGGGTAACCCGGCTGGTTACCCCCACTATTAATGAAGTAAGAGATCCATTTTCCCTCAAACGACAGACAGTTCCAAGGGTACAACAACCACTTTATTGGGCACACTCAGCTGTATACTTTCCCCATGCAAGGGGTGTGTCACTCATACAGACAAGGTCCCCTCCCAGGGGACCCTAATCCCTTTGTCCCTTGTTCCCGCCACGTGGTGTCCCCTCCCAGTCATGCCCTGACCTCTTTGTCCAGAGCTTTGTGAATCCAATAGTGCACGAATTGTGCTAGGTGACTCAGGAGGCCCCATTCCGATGATTTTGGGTGCCTAATGGATCACGGATCGAATAATGGACAGCCTTGGGTGTCCTGGCACCATAAACGGCACCATAAACACAACAGTGTGCTGAAGCAGTTATAGTGCTTGGAGTGTTCCTTTCAGTATTGTAAAATTATGTCAAGACAGAAAACACAATATCCATTGTTTACACTTTATAATGAATATAACAATTTCAAACATATATAAAAAGAGCTGTTCATGTATCTCAATAGCTAATGAGGACTCCCAAAGACAACAAATTAGTAGTATAAAAAAATAAAACATATGTCAAACTCTGTAATATCATAGGACATGACATACATACATACAACTGTAATCAAAATTATTCAACTCCCATTGAAAAGCCCGGTTTATTTTCAAAATGTACAGACTTTTAGCTGTTTGCAATGAACAAATCAAACAAAAGCAATTGAAACAGCTCAACTTCATTTGGTTTCCTCAAATTCAACTGAAGATGCAACTTATAATTACTTCTCCAGTCTCAAAATTATTCAGCCGCTTCATGGCAAGCATCTTTACTTAGTTAAGAACCCTTTTGCTGTTATTTTATATGGGGTTCAAGCCGAAGTTGCAATAAGAAATTTGATATCGTCACTTTAACAAAATATTATTTATTTCAATAAAGAAATTTTACTTTGGCAGTTTTCTGCAGCAATAAGATTTTGAAATAATAATGCATGAATGACTGTGATCTTGTTTCAGAATTGCAACACAAGAATATATAGCATTTATAAAAATAAGGAATTGTTTAAAGGATCACTATAGGGTCAGGAACACAAACATGTATTCCTGACCTTATAGTGTTAAAACCACCATCTAGCCCGCCTGGGCCCCTCATGCCTCCATAAATATAGCAACATCTTACTGTATTCAAGACAGAAGCTGTAAATCTGCATGCTGTTTGCCTAAAAAAACAAACAAGCAGTCTGCTGACATCATCAGAAGTGGTAGCCTGAGCCAATCACAATGCTTCCCCATAGGATTGGCTGAGACTGACAAAGAGGCAGAACAAGGGCAGAGCCAGCATGATTCAAAATGTTTACAGCAAAAAGCCTGAAGGTAATGATTCTACACACCAGAACAAATTCAATAAGCTGTAGTTGTTCTAGTGACTATAGTGTCCCTTTAATTAGCAATTTAGTCCATAGATGTCAATTGACAGAGCAGGTGAGGCGATTTCTGTTGTAGGAAATAATTTAGTTCTTTTTGAAAGAGACAACAGAAGTTGGAAATAGGGCAGATCCTGGTTGAGTAGTGGTTAGTCCTTTTAGCCTTTTAGAATCCAATAAAAAAGGAATAACACAAATAATGAATAAGTAATTGGTTTATGAGACTTTCAATTAGAATATGCAAATGAAATGCCAGAGGACAGACTTAGTATTCCTTATCCTTCCCAAATAACTTCAAATGAGAAACGAGTAACTGGAGAATTTATCTTGCATAGGTTGATGAGCTTTAGAATCCATCCAGGAGAGTATGGATTATGGTTCCTTATGGTATGTGGAGAAAGGCAGGAATCCTGGTTGAAGTCTGTTCCAAGTCAGGGAGTAAAGAATAGAGCGTAGTCAGGATCAAGCCAGTGAGATTCGGTACACAGGAATGCAATTAGAGAGCTCCATTGGTAAATCGGCAATAAAGTAGCAAGTATGCGAGAGTACATCAAAGGTAATAGCACACATCTAACATAAAATTGATTGAGCACTTTAGATGCGGTTCTGGCTTCCTTTTGAAAGGAAAGCGCATGATGTCAGATGCATGGGCGGAGACTGATGGGCGAAACCCGGAAGTTATACGGGTAATGCCGATCGGGCTGGAATCAACATGGAGGAATTCTGACACTAGGTGACTGTTATGACCATTGTAGAATTTTCCAGGACTTCTTTTGCAAACAAGCCTTGCTGGAATTTGAGATATGCTTGGGATCATTGTCTTGTTGGAAGGTCCAATGACGCCCAAGCTTCAGCTTCCTCACAGACTGTATAGCATTTTCAACTTGGATTTCCTGTTACTTCAATAAATCCATCTTGCCTACCACATGCTGTAGGTTTTCAGTGCCAGAGAATGCAAAGCAGCCCCATAGCATCCGAGACACCACTATGCTTAATGGGACACTCCACTGCCCAAATAAATAAAATTCACTGTTTAATAGATATACCACAAACGAAAGCTTGAATGCATTTTTCCATTGGGGTATATACAAAAACAACTTGCAAAACCTGCAGTTCTCTTGTCTGCTGCCTTTGCAAGCTCCTTCCCCTTCTAATCCCGCCCAGAAATTCTGTGGCTGTCCAATCACTGACTTCCCAATGCAGCTCAATGAGAAGTCTTTACAAGGCAGGTGCTCTGAGCAATTGCTGCCTTTTGAGTTTAGCTCCACTGCGTTAACCAAATCAGGAATTATCATTACATGTTATCTGCTTGAAAACCAGAGGGGATGTATCCAGATTAATTTATAAAAATGTCAATTTCTATTAAAATTTGCACTTTTTGCAAAATGAAAAAAATAGGATACACTCTTCACACACAAAGCTTTTCAGAAAGCTAAAGTTTTTTAGGGGTCTGGCATGTCCCTTAAACTGTAGGCAGAGTGTTATTTTTAGCGTATACTTTTTCTTTTTTCCCTCTAGACATACCGCTAATCCATTGGGCAGAAAAGTTTGTTTTGCTTCAATGCTCTACAGAACAGAATCACAAAACTTGTTTTATATATATATATATATATATATATATATATATATATATATATATATATTTTATGATTTTTAGTATTTTGGAGCTGACTCTTGTGCTTTTGAGCCAGTAGTGGTGTACGCATTGGAGTTTTCTGGCATTGAAACCTTCTGCGTTTAGCATGCGCATTATTGTGCTCACTGAAACCTCAGTGCCTGTTGCTGCAGGTCTTCAGCATTTACTCAAGAGTTTTTCAAAACATGCCTTTTAAGAAATCTGGTTGCATCCATTGATAGCTTCCTTTTCTGCCCCAGTCCTGGTAGTGTAACCACCTCAACCTTTAACCTACAAACTTTACGGTGTCTCTAGGAATATTTAGTACCTTCACTATCTTTTCGTATCCTGTTCCTTGCTTGTGAAGGGCGATGATCTCTTCTATTAACTTTGTGGACCATTCTTTTGACTTAGCAATATTTCAAACATGCAGTCAAACGTGACACACAACAAGCCCCTAACCAGTTCAGGTATTTCAAGTGGTCAAGCACATCTGGTGCAACTAATCAAGCCCTTGATTTGTTGCATCAAGTGTGCTTGAGACAACACCTGTTTTGCATATTTGTGCTGTTGTGAGAGATTCTATTCAAGGGATTGAATAATTTTGAGACTGGAGAAGTCATTATAAGCTTCATTTTCAGATGAATTTGAGGAAACCACTTGAAGCATTCATTGTGTTGAGCTATATCATGTGCTTTTGTTTGATTTCTTCATTGCAAAAAGTGGAAAATCTGGAAATGTGGACAATAAATCTGATTTTCAGTGGGGGACGAATAATTTTGATTACAACTGTAGTTGTCTCCAGTCCAATATTTGAGCAGGTGGTGAATCGAGAAGAGGATAACACATACAAAGTCATTCACCAAGGAATGGCAAATTTATTACTAACATACTGTAGCTACCTTGGAAAAGTTTTCCAATTTGCCTTTTCTTTGCCTAAAATTGGCAAAACACTAGTGAATTGTCAACAATTTACAACTTAATGAATAACAATCTAAATGTAATACTAATAATCAGAGGAATAATCAGTCATTGCTGGTTAGTAAGTGTGCTAATTTAAGAAAATGTGTATACAGGGTCAGTTGGAAAATGCTTGTATGTATTTCCCATACTCTTGGGAATATCAATACATTTCTGGGAGCAAGGAGATTTTTAAAAAATATATTTTGATCTGAGAGAGTAAATACATTTTGAAAAACAAAAGCTGAATTCCTAACGCCATAGTACCCCATCTCTAGTTATATAGCACCACAAACACTGCAACTGCCTCGGTGCTATAAACCTCTCAGCCTCCCGCAATGTCATAGAGGAGGCACGGCTTCCTCTAGCAATGGTCCTAACCAATGCTCCTCATAGGAAAGCATTAAATAAATGCTGCAACTTTAAAGGACCACTTTATAGTGCCAGGAAAACAAACTCGTTTTCCTGGCACTATAGTGCCCTGAGGGTGCCCCCACCCTCAGGGTCCCCCTCCCTCCGAGAGTGAGCGAGGACATGGGGGGCTTAGGAAGTGGCGGGGAGCACTGTTCCCTGCCGCTTCTATTTTTACATTTTACAAGGAGGGAGCTGCGCGCTGGTAGCTCCCTCTTTGTAATAAACTTAACGAACACCGATATTCAGTGTTTGTTTGTTCGTCTGACATTTCTATTCATTCATTCGTCTTTCTGACGAATGAATGGATGAAATTCCCGTTCGCATGTCCAAGTGTTTAACTGGTCATGCACGGGAATTTCACAGTCCCCACAGGGACTTCATCTTCCCACACAAAGATGGCGACGCCCAGGACCTAGGTCCAGGCAGAAAATAAAGATAAAAAAATAGGTAATATGGGGGGCTTAGGGGCATTTGGGGTTCACTTAGATATAGTGGAGTTGTGAGGGGGGTTAAAAAACAACGGGATTCGGCCATGACAGTGCCGCTTTAAACTACAATAAATGTTTACAGAATTTCAGTCTGTGTAAATAAGATAATTGTTATTGTTCTTGTTCTATATTACATTTTAGTTGCATAAATTGACTAGCAAGTATCCTACATTTCTCAGAACATCCCTGCCC